CCTACTGTCTTGACAACGTTCCTCAGGAACAGTAAGTTCAGTCTGATGGCAAACAATTGCTCGCTGCGTTATATATGTGATCCTTCCTGTTTAGAAGAAGGTGAGATAATAATCATTGGAGATTTGGTAGATACAAGATTAAATAAAGTAAAAATAATAAAACAGTAATAACTATAATTAAGAGACAACAAGTGGATGGTTTTAAAAATAGTTTAACAGAAGGAACAGATTCACTGCTCCATTCTTAAATAGTTATTTCCTCTGCTCAAGACTTAGCACTTTTTGGCTTTGTCCCAGTTTCTTATCTGCCAACTCCGATTCCTCAGCTCATGGACTAGATGACTCACAAGTTTTCATATTCCTATGGCTCCCTTGACTCCATTAGGTACTCAATACAGAACCTTAAAGTGGACGAAGCGGCCCCTTATTCCTAAGGTGACCAATAGTGTTTTTGCCATGACACTACCTGCCCCCAATGGCTAAGCTGTCTGAAATCCCTTCCTTATGGAAGTTCCTTTCTCAGTATGTGTTCACTTTCCATTGATACACAATGAATATAGCTTACTTAGCCAAAGAAATACAAAAAAGCTTCGGTCAAGAGTTTCGAAAATAATTCTTTAAGGGTGTTGCAGTTTATCTGTTCCATAGATAGTTCAGCCCATGGCTGATATTTTAAACATAATTATTCTAAACTGGAGTCCTATAGACCCAAGATTCAGCTCAGAGATAACGAATGGAACGAAAAGAAGAAACACTTATATTAAATTGAAAGACAATTTACAATGAAACATAAAGATGAATAGGGTGGTTTAATGCTCGTGAGGAGTCTTAGGGGATGATACAGAACAGAGAAGAAGGGTTGTCACTTAACTACAGTTACAGTTATATAAAACTAAACTACTAACTACTACTAGGTGATCTTTTCTTTTAGGACTTCAATCTCTCCAGAATTCGATGATGTTTTTGTGTTTGGGACGTCCTATTTATAGGCAGAAAAGGTATGGCAGTCTTGTAAATCTTTTGGAGCTGGTTTCTTGAATGAAGGGACGGGGCGGTGGCAACAGTGTTTAGAAGCTTTGCAAATTGCTTGATGGGACAGTATTTGTTGATGATTAGTCGTTTTCTGCAGTCCCCCCATGCCTTGCTTTCTTCTTGGCCAATGAGAACTCTTGATTCTCTGTTCTTCACGTTTCCTGGTGCTTAAATGGTGCATCGCCTCTGCTTTTAGAAGACTTCGTTTCCACGTTTCCTGCAAAAGGGACATAGGCATTATATGAGTGGAGCAGGTGCATTAAATGCTTCTCAATCTGTTCCCCTTTTAATATATTTTAAAGGAATACATTACCATACGTTCCCCCACTGTGTTTTTGTCACAAATGTGTAAAACAAGTGATTTTCATGCTGAAGTTGCTCATCAGATGAGGGAACGTAAGGTATTTTGCCATCAAAAAGGGCTTAGATGGGAACGAATTTACGTCCTATCAAAGGGTATTAGAGAAGAAGACACCGTTTGAAGTTTGGTTTAGTTTCAATCCATTTCTAAGAAATTTGAAGGTGTTTGGTTGTCTGTGTTTTTCTCACATTCCACAAGTCAAGAGAGACAAGTTGGGAGAGAAAGCTGAACTTGGGATCTTCGTTGGCTACAATGTAGTGTCAAAAGCCTACAAGATCTATCAACCACAGACAAAGAAGGTGATCACTAGTAGGGATGTTCAGTTCCTAGAATATGAGCAATGAGACTGGATAGATGAGCCACAAGCCAAGCACAAGCAGGTCTCACAGGAATCTGATGAGCTGGTAAATGATGTTCCAGTTAGAGGTACCTAATATCTGAATGTTATATATCGGAGGTGTAGTGTGGCTGTTTTGGAACCTTCAAGTTATGAGGAAGCTAAAAGTGATCAGAGGTGGATGAATACTATGAAGGAAGAGTTAGCTATGATATAAAAGAACCAGACATGGGAGCTAGGGGAAAAGCCTGAAGGCAAGAAGATAATTTGAGTGAAATGGGTTTTCAGGACCATACTCAATCCTGATGGCTCAGTGAATAAGCATAAAGCCAGGTTGGTGGTGAAAGGATATGCACAAGTTTGGGGAGTTGATTTCTCAGAAACCTTTGCTCCTGTTGCAAGATTGGGTACAATCAGAATGACTCTTGCTTTGGCAACTCAACAAGGATGGAAAGTGTATCGGTTAAATGTGAAATCTGCATTTTTGAATGTAGTGTTGCAGGAGGAGATTTATGTTGATCAACTAGAAGACTTTGTCACACCAAGTCAGGAGGAGAAGGTGTATTTGTTGAGAAAAGCTCTCTGTGGCTTTAGGCAAGCTCCCAAAGCATGATATAGCAAGATGGATGAGCACTTGCTGGGTTTGGGTTTCGAGAAAAGTCTTAGTGAATCCACTTTATATTTCAAGAAGTTAGTATCTGACTTAGTGGTGGTGTCTCTTTACCTGGATAATATATTGGTGACAGGGAGTAATATTTCTCATATTACTGCATTTAAAAAGGAGATGATGAAAATGTTTGAAATTACTGATCTTGGTGAGATATCTTATTTTCTAGGGATGGAGGATAGGCAAACTCATAATGAAATTTTTTATCTGTCAGAAGAAGTACTTGAAGGAGATCCTGAAGAGATTCAACATGGAGGAGTGCAAGATGGATCATAGCTCAGCTCTAGTGGAGGAACCTGACCCCAAGTTCTTGCAGAACCCAGCTACCCACTTGCCAGCAGCGTCTCTAATCACACACCCACAACTAGACCTATGTCCTTCCCTACAATAGGAGCCATCAACATTGAGTTTATACCAATTATCGGTAGGAAAGCTCCAGCTAATGAATCTTTCCACCTTGTCATGATGTTGTAAGCCATGACTACTGAGAATTCTATGAGCCTCATCTGATTGAGAAACAAAGGCTTTAGCTCTCCTAATAGAAGATTATGGTACCACAACCTTCTGCTCAGATATCTAGCTATTGCGAGCTCTCCAAATAAACCAACACATCGTACCAAACAACTTCCCCCACTCATAGTTATGGACAAGACTTGTGCTACTCAAGTTATTCTTTAACCAAATAAGCAAGGGAACTTGGAAAAACTCAGACCATCTGTGATTTACGCCCAAAGAGTTCTATAGTTCTCTACTCCACTTGCAATCTCTAAGGACATGCAACACATCCTCCTCCCCCTCATTGCACCTAGTACAACACCCATTATCTGAGATCTTTCTTTGAAATCTTTTCTTATTAGTTAATAAAAGGTTATTTGATATTATCTAAAGAAAGGTTTGAATCCTCCTGTTGCCTTTCCACGACCAAGCCACCTTCACGGACACAGTTTGATCTTCCTTCTCCATAAGTACACCGTAAGCGGACTTTGTTGTAAATCTACCATCTTCGTGCAGCCCCATATCACAAAGTCTGGTCCTTGGTCTGGTGGGGAGGCAATACATTTGCGATTGCAGCAATGGAATTTGGTGAAACAAATTCCTCCAGCATAGCCCAATTCCAACTGTCGTGGTTGTCTACGAAGTCTATAACATTCCAATCACTGCCATCAGCGATGTCTTCAACCCCCTCCTTAAGTTGAATCCTATCATTCCCAGGAAGCCAGTTTGCCTTGTAGAAACTGGTTTGTTGTCCATTACCTAACTGGATTCTAGAACCTTTGATAACCTTGTGCCAGACTTTATAAATGCCTCTCCAAAGATTCGATGATTGATTGGTATGTTTAATTTCTGGCATAAGCTCATCCTGCACTTTATATTTGTTCCTTAAAACCTGAGCCCAAAGACTGTCTTTGTGGGTTAACAGCCCATGGCCAATCTTCATCATAAATGCCTGATTAGTTTCTAGCATCCTCCTCAAACCCATACCCCTATTCTTTTTCGGCTGACAAACTCTATCCCCAAGCCACTGGATGTATCCTTCTTTTCTCATTCATTGATCCCCACAAGAAATCTCTCAATCTTTTCTCTAAACCCTAGAACGTACTCACAGGAAGATAGCACGTCTGCATGGTGTACGATGGCGTGGCAGCAATGACCGATTGTATGAGAATGACCCTACCTGCCAGGGATAGAGAGTTTCTTTTCCAGTTGTTAAATTTATTATCTACCCTTTGTAGCATGTAGTTGAATGTGGCGGAGTTAACTCTGTTAGATAAAAGAGGAATCCCTAAGTATCTTCCTCCGTCCGCAGCAATGGGAAAACCCATAGCCTGCACTATCTCTTTCGCTCTTATATGATTCATATTTTTATAGAAGAAGATCCTAGTTTTGTCTTTACTAATTCTTTGGCCAAAGGATTCACAAAAAGCAACTCAGAATAGTACTTATGAGCTTGGCTTGTTGAAGATATGCTTCTGTGAACAACAACAAGTCATCTGCAAAAAATAAGTGAGTGATAGATGACCCTTCTTTTTTCAGCACAACCGGTTTCCAATCATTTTTGTTGGTCGCTACTAGGATCATGTGAGCCAACCTCTCAATGCAAAGAACAAAGAGTTAAGGGGACAAAGGGTCCCCTTGTCTTATTCCTCATGTAGGGGTGAAATCCTCTATTTTTGTTCCCTCCCATAGCACACTCATAAAGATCGTTGAGATTGCTGCCATTATCAACTCCACAATCTGATGATTCAGGACAACATCTTCAAGGATATTTCGAAGGAATCTCCAGTTGACTCTGTCATAAGCTTTCTCTAAATCCACCTTGATTGCCATCCAACCAACATTTCATCTCTTATCCTTTATTGAGTGCATGATCTCTGTGCTATAATGATGTTATCACTGCTATGTCTACCATTTATGAAGCTGCATTGATTTCGCATAATCAGAGCTCCAAGATGAGGTTTCAATCTATTAGCCACAATCTTGGTAATGGCCTTAAACACAACATTACACAAACTAATAGGGCGGAGCTTCCGTATAGAATCTGGATTGTCCTCCTTCAGGATAAGATAAATGAGGGACTGATTTATGGCTTTTATCTTCTCGGGCTAAAGGAAAACATCCTCAATAAGCCTCATAACTGACACCTCCATTGTAGGCCACTGAGACTGAAAGAAGAGAGCATGTAGGCCATCTGGTCTAAGCGCCTTCAAACCATCCATGTTAAAGAAAACATCCTTAATCTCTTCCCGGCTAGGAGGACGGTGAAGCTGGATGAAAAATATACTGTTTATTTTAGGAAAACGACCTGTAATCGGGAAAGGATGTAAAATAGCCCCATCATTCGTGTACACATTCTTGAAAAACTTGACCACCATGGACTTGAGCTTTTCAGGAGTCCCAACCCAATTGTCCCTTTCATCCTTCAGCATCAGAATCTTGTTATGTCTCCTTCTAATCACTGTGGAAGCATGGTAAAATCTCATGTTACGGTCCTCATCCACCAACCACTGGCGTCTAGACCATTGAAACCACGTCAACTCTTCCTGTATATAAATTTTATGCAGTTCTGCCCAGAGAATTTGATGTAGCCCTTCGAGCGCAGCATTTATACTGCTATGGAGCTTCTTATCAATGCCTGAAATGCATGCAAGCAAATGACTCTTCCTCCTAATACCCGCCTTGTACACCTAATTGTACCAAACCACAACTTTATTCTGAAAGTGGATGCTAGCATTAGCCCACGATGTTCCCCCTTACCAACAATCATTAACTAGCTCATTAAACCCTTCACAAGTAAGCCAGGCCACAAGAAACTTAAAGGGGTGATTATGTTACGTTACTCTTCTCTGCATCCCTTCCCAAAGGAGAATAGGACAATAGTTCGAAGAAAATAAGGTAAATGCAGAATGTACCTATCTTGAAAGGTAGTTCACCTATTCGTGTCCACTAGGGCTCTATCTATACGTTCATTAAGGTTTCCCCTATGCCACGTGAATAAGAGGCCCTTAAAATCAATGTCTTAAAGTCCACACTCCACCAAGCAATCGTTGAATTCTCTGATGCTGCCAGAACAAGCAGACCACCCTCCTTTCTTCTTCTGGTCATTGCTTATCGGGTTGAAATCACCCATTACCAGCCAAGGTTTGTTAACAGAGAGACCCCAAATTAGCCAGCTATTCCCATAAAAGCATGTGCCTCACCTTCTAGGACTACCATAAACAAAGGTTGTTACCTCATTCTTGTTCTTGTCCAGCCACTTGACATCAACATGCATGAACTGGTTATGTGGTGCAAGGAGCTTGATAACAACCTCTCTCTGATCCCACAAAACCTAAATGCCTCCTGAAAACCCAACTGCATCCCAATTCAATAAACCATCGAACCCCAACTGCTTGATTCTTCTATCAACTTTGGTGCCACTTTTTCGAACCTCTATTAACACCATAATCTTAATATTATATTTTAGTTTCATATCCTTAATAAATAAGGAAAAACCTTTTTTATTTGCTCCTCTACAATTCCACGTAGCAATATTCATGGAAAACATGTAAAGACAAAAAAAAAGGACACGTAGTCCTATTACTATAATATGAGTGTCCTTTTAAAAGATCTTCATCAGGCCAAGCGCATGGCCTCAGGATTTGATTGAGTGTAACGTCGCATCAGCTCTAAAGCATCTATATTATCCTTTTTTTGTGAAACAGTTTCTACCGTCTTATTTCCCACTGTGTAGGTGTCTGAGCTTGGAGCTATATTTGTTGCAGCACATTGCATGGCATGAGCATTGTCTTTCCCTTCTGCTGCCTTTATATCAACCTTTTGGTGTTTGCCTTTTGTGTTGTTCTGACCCACCAAGTCAGACTTCCTATGAGCCACCTTCCCGTCACTTCTTCTTATGTTAGCCGTATACAAGGAATTGCTCCTCTGGCGAAAGCCTTGAGCTTTGTCCTTGGATGACAGACCCTTTTCATTCCTTCTATTACTAATGTCCTACACCGTCATTGGCTGGGTTTTATCTCTTTGAGAAGTTGTGCCTGCTTCCTTCTCTGACCTGCATCACTCATCGCTAGATTCCACTTAGCAGTTTTCTCATCACGACGTTGACTTCTTGCAGATGCTGCTGACTCTTTTTTCGATGTTTTCCCCGACAAGTTTTCCGACACCGATATAGTTCTCTGGCCCTTAGCCTTCCTCTTCACCACCATCCAAGATCCAAAAGCCTGCGATTCTTTTTTGGCCTTTTCCTCCTCCTCCATTACAATGTCCCAATGTGATCCTCTTGTGGTCTGATTAGTAATATGTTGTTCTCCTTGTACCTCCTCGTTCTTCCATTGCATAGTCTCGTCCTCCATTGCAAGCATCTTTACGATGTCCATATCGACCGCAAGCGAACATGTCATATGCAACCTTTCATATCCTATGTTCAAGTAGATGAATTCATGTTGGATAAAATCCCAAAGTATGAATCGAGATACAAAACTCCTTCTTAGGTCTACTTCCACACAGATTCTGGCAAACCTTGTTTTGTCTGTTATCTCCCCCTCAACCCCTTCCACTCTTCTTATGAAAGTTTTGTCCACCTTAATAGTCTTCCCCAGCATGTTGCCGATCCTCCACAAATGTTGGGGCGTATAGAACTCCGTTGGCAGCCCTGGGATTCTCAACCACACCATTAGCTTTTTAACTTCTTCATTGTAAGGGTCAAAAAAGGGTCTCCAGCGCTGCACTATAAGATAATGATCAGCCACTATCCATGGCCCTTCCTGTAACACATGTGAGTAATCCTTCTCCTCCTTAAATTTAATCAAAAGGTGTCCATTATCCAAATCAATAAGCTCATAAGAGCCAGTTAGGTTCCAAAGTCTCAGTAGTCGCGCCATCAGAAACCTTGAAGCCATTCTTTTTTCCCATGAGTTTAATAATTAACGTATTTCTCCATTTTTTGCAGTCATCCCGATGTTGCTTCCTTGCAACCACATAGGTTAGACAAAGTGGGTCATCATTCTCCAAAAAGCCAGCTTCATCTGGCAAGTCATCTTTCTCCTCTTCTCTCCGTTGGATTTTCATCCAATCCTCCTCATTACTATCCATTCCATTGTCCTTCTCGTTCAACCGCAGCACCCGTTCCATATAGGAGATTACCTTCCTGCCTCGCAAGGTTTGCACCTCCCCTTACTGTCAGGTTTATCTGCAAAAATATCATCCTCCTTCTTCGACCCCTTATCTTTAATCTCATCTTCCATCTCATCGTCCATTTTGTCGACTAGCTCAGTACCCTTGGGCTTCTTGACGGTCCTAGTATTGGGTTCCTCCTCCTTCGCGCGAGGGTTTTTTTCAAAGTTCTTTCTAGCATTCTCACCTTCTAAACCGTGAGAGTGCAACAGCACCCCTATGTCTTCCTCTCTACCATTTCATCTGCATTCCTTAATAGCCAAAGCTTTCTTGTAGGGAAACATCCCCCCTAAGCTTCATTGGGGAAGCCCTTAGTGTAGAGAAGGGGAGAAAGCGGAGAGAGAAATATTAATGCTACTGTTGACATTATCTTTACTATAAGTGTCTTGTCTAAATTTCTTAATTGTGCAAGTGAGCTGCACATGTTAGCTAAAAAAGGGTGTTAAGATACTCAAAGGGTACTCTTTCATATGGAATTAAGTTATACAAAATTCAGGAGTTTAAGTTGTAGGGGTATTCTGACAGTGACTGGGTCGGATCAATGGATAATATGAAAAGTACTTCGGGTTATTGTTTTACATTTGGGTCGACATGTGTTTCTTGGTGTTCAAAGAAGCAGAAAATAATGGCTCAATCAACTGAAGAAGCTGAGTTCATTGCAGCTACTGCTGCTGTGAATCAAGCATTATGGTTGAAGAAGCTGATGGATGATCTGCATTTGGAACAAGAAGAAGGCATAAAAGTATTTGTGGATAGTCAAGCTGCTCTAGCCATTTCACAGAATCCAGTATTTCATGGAAGAACAAAGCATTTTAAGATCAAGTATTACTTCTTGAGGGAAGTGCAGAAGGCTGGAAAGGTGAAGTTAGTGTACTGCAGTTCAGAAAACCAAATTGCAGATATATTCACCAAGTCATTTCATGTTGGTCGATTTGAACTTCTCAGGGCAAAGCTAGGCATGTGTAGCACTTGATCCAGGAAGAGAGTGTCGATGTATCAAGGCTACAGTTGATGTTCTATTTTTTAGGAGTTAATTAGTTGTCCTTTTTTTTATTTGATCAGCCTTATTTTAGGAGTGTTTAGCTGCATTTTAATTTTTTACTGTTGTGTTGGTTTGCTGCTGATTTTGTGGACCAAGTAATCAGCTAGTTAGTGGGCAATACGTGAAAGAGCTTAGTTTGTATTTAAGTTTGTTTCAACCTTCATAATAAAATGAGCCGTTGCAAAATATAGCTTCTGCTTTCAATGTTTTCTTTTCTTTTCTTCAAAGAACAACATAATTACACTAGCATTTGTGGAGGCCTCTCTAATTAAACCATCACCTTCAAATATTTAGGTTGAGCAAAACTATTATACCACTGTTGGAAAGATACGAGGGAGCCCAAAATTCTTGTAAGAGACACTTTTACCATTGGGGCAAATAACAAAGAATAATAAATGGGTTGATACCGTATCTAAACTCAAAACCTTAAAGAAGTGAGTATGTAAATTTTTTCACTTATATGATCCTCATTTAATTTATCTTTTGACTAACTTGAAATTTCTCACTCACTTAAATTTCATTTCCAACGTAGTGATCCGCCACAATAATCATAAATCCATTGTTTACACAGCACATAGTACTATATATTGAATACAAAGTACCTTTTAACCAAAAGCATCCCAAAATAAAAAATAAAAAAAAGTTTCGAGATAGATTTGGAAGTTCATGGTTCCATAAATTAAAATTCAAACTTTTCATGTGTAGGATGTTATACAACATCTTCCCAACTAGAAGCAACTTGGCCAGCAAGCATATCCAAGTAGATATACGATATGCCCCATGTGCGTGAGAGGAACAAGGCTGCTGTTATATGGTTTCAATCACTGTTCGCAATCAGATCCAATTACACATGTACATGTATCTTCTACATGCTACATTGATGGAAACAAGTCACGAACTTGATTGAAAGATTTGGACCTAACCACAAAACAAAGTATAGAAAGTACGTAGATCGGCTGATACATTGAATAATATATTGTTTTTTTACTTTTGACAAAGAAAAATAAGTTTTTATCAGAAAACAGTTTATGATGTAAAATAATAGAATATATTAATGATATAAATCTGGCCTATATATATGAGAAATAATAATCAAAGGTAGCAGTTCAAAAATGACGACTAGCATTAGCTCAAATGAAAAACTAGCATCTAGCATGCCTATTAAAGTATCTCCAATTAATTATTAATATTGAATATATGTAACTTTACTAGGCACTTAAAATTATCATATTATACACTTAAAAATAAATATATGAACTCAGGAGTTGTAGGTCGTGATACTCGAAAATTTAACCTGTTTAAAAAATAGTAAATTTGATTCATATAAATGACGCAATTCCTAAGAAGGGTAAAGAAACTTAAATTCAAAATTAAATTAATCAAACTCATTAGAACTTCGAATGTAGGTTGGTATTAAAAAATAAAAATAAAAATTTGATAGTAAACAAAATAGAAACAGAAGGGGTGATGACCATGCATTTCATTTTCACACTTGTCAAACCACAACCAATTAAACACCAATCAATCATTGGTGTGTATGTGTGTTATACATCAATCAAGGCGCATTACACGGCCATGGCCATATATTATCTACCCACTTTTCCTCCTACTCTCGGATGTAAGTGTCTTTCTTTTCTACCCAGTTTTTTAATGCATTAATTTGGCTGTTGCTATTGAGCATGATTAATATAGGTAGGGAAAATTTCAAAGAGGACAAATATAAGACTTGGATTATTTCTCTCGAGGGAATAAGAATGAAGTCAGCATTTTATCAAGTCCATGCGCACATGTAGTGCACTCCTTGGTCATAATCCAAGTTCAATTTATAATGTTATTTGTCACATGCAGCGCCTCACGCAGCCACTTGCAACTCTTGTTATATATCTTGTGA